AAGCAGTGGTATCAACGCAGAGTACTATAAAAATTTTTTTTTCGGGGGCGTGGCTGACGCCACTCCCCCTTTTTCTAAAATTTGGGGGTTGTGGGCCCGCGAAAATTTTTTGAAGTGTACCAAAAAATTGTTCTGGGTGCGTGGCTAACGCCACGCACCTTCATTTAAAAAATTTTTTTGTCGCGCCCCCCCCCCCCCCGAGCAAATCCTGGGTACGCCACGACGTGAGCATGTTGATTAATTGGAAGCTGAAGGTAAACTGCCAGAGTTAAAACCAGAGCAGTTCTAGCTAATGTCGAACGTGGATCGACTTGTTTATGAAGCCGAGCTTGTGAGGGGTCGAATCTGTACACTCGACGACATGCTTAATTCGAGTTTTTCGAAAAGCAAAGCCAACATGTTTGCTTTCTCGGACAAGAACTGACTGCACAGTTTTTGATGTAAGTTTTGTTCCATTTCTGTAAATATTGCCCACCTTTTAACATACATACAAGAACATAAGTAACATACAAGAAAGACTGATCAGATAAAATGCCAAAGCACGGCAAAATTTTTACCGACAGGACAGTAATCCCTGCTTACAGCTAAAGTGCCGCTACCGGCGCACTCACACTCTGTAAATACCAGAGATTTTCCCTTATCCATCTGAAATGTAGAAATTTGGGTGTAATAACTTTAATCAACTGTAGGATTGAGTTCTACGCGAGGTATAAACCAACCTTGCTAAAGATGCTGAAATTAGCTCCACTGAGTGGGCATCCAGCTTGACAAGGCGAATAGAAGATATCTCCTCTGGAATCAATCAGTATGTAACAATAAGGCACAAATTTGCAATCCTTAATTTAGTTTCCCAATGTATAAACAATAGAATTAGATTATACCCTGTGTTGTTATCCTTCGTTACAAAATCAACAGATTTTTTCAATTCAATCTACAAACAAACGAGATGCTTGCATGATCCAATAACCCATGCGGTCCTTACACAAAGATCGAGCGGTCGCCATAGATATTTGGGGATAAACAAATCTGTCAGTATTTCTGAAGCGAAAAAAACATTCTGTTGATCAAGAAAGTTTCCTCATCAGATTGGTGCCGGAGGCGCGGCCATTAACGCCGCCATGCATGGTTATACAGTCTGTCCTGATTCGGGAGCAGGCCGAATCACTTATGTAAATTTGTGCGCTCGCAGCGCTAAGGGTTTGCGCTGCATATGCACGCTTCGGAGAGAGCGAAGAGATCAAAGGGAAAGCAGACAAGTTAGGTACAATACGCAAAACCCTCGCCACCCAATTTCCTCATGCCAATTTTGGCCTGTTTGGGATTGGGAAGAGACTGTATCTCAGACAGCCGGTCGGACCCCTCCGGCGCAGAAATGGCAGGGCCGCGGGGTTTTCCCAGCGGGGGGTCTGCCACTCGTGCGCCGGAGCCCCCCGATTTTGTGCGCCGGAGCCCCCCATTTTGTGCTCCGCAAGTCTGCCGCGGCATACTGTAACTAACCCTAAATAAGCTCCAAACCCCAATTA